ATGCGAACGACCTTGAGCATTTGACCGGCGCGCCGTTCGCTACAATATTAATACGAGTATATTGTAGCGAGCGGCTCGCCGGAAGAAATATGTAAGACGCCACCTATTGTACGAAAGTAGTATTATTTTTTCAACATCAATAAACTGTTTTATGGAAATACACATAGCGTACAAAGATAAATGTATTTTAATTTTTTTATTCTGTATATATTAGTTGCATTATATTAGAATTATGTATTTTCATATATTATCTAATTATGAAATTTTATAATTAATTATATAAACGGAAGCATTGAAAATTGTGAGTTTAAAAGATACCTATTCACTATAGGTAAATAAATAGATAACTCGGCTTTTGTACAAATATTTGGTGCAATAAAAAATATATAAATACAAAAATCAACAAGAAGTATAAGGGTTCAATCTTTCAATTTCAGTTGTAAAAAAACATCTGAAATTGAAAGTCACCTGTACTAATGGGTGTACCTCAGGGCTCGATTCTCGGCCCATTCCTGTTTCTGGTGTATATTAATGACTTACCTCACCTTGTAGGGGATAGTCATGATATAGTATTATTTGCTGATGATACTTCCTTGATTTTTAAACTTAAACGTCAATCATTTAAATGTGACGAAGTGAATAATGCTATATCAAAATTAGTGCATTGGTTTAACGTTAATAATCTGCATTTGAACGGAAATAAAACTAATTGTGTTAAATTTACAACAACGAATGTTCAAAATCTGAATACCAATGCGTTTTTAAATGGGGAGGAATTGAGCCCTGTTGTATCCACTGTTTTTCTTGGCATCACTCTTGACGCAAAGCTCCAGTGGGGCCCCCATATATCCAAATTAGCAAGCAGACTAAGTTCTGCAGCCTATGCTGTAAAAAAGATTAGAGGTCTCACTAGTGTCGAGACAGCTAGATTAGTTTATTTTAGTTATTTTCATAGCATAATGTCTTATGGGATTTTGCTATGGGGAAATGCGGCTGATTCAGAAACTATTTTTGTTTTACAGAAGAGGGCCATTAGAGCTATTTACAATCTAAAACCGAGAGAGTCTCTTAGAGATAAATTCAAAGAAATTAATATATTAACTTTGGCCTCTCAGTATATTTACGAAAATTTAATGTATGTTCACAAAAACAAAGATAGTTTTAGTAAAAGAAGTGATATACATTCTGTAAACACTAGGAACAAACACAAGCTAGTGATACCAGTTTCTCGACTCCACAGAGTCAGTAATTCATTCTTGGGGCAATGTATACGCTATTACAACAAGGTCCCGGAAAGTGTACAGGTTCTCTCTATTACCAAGTTTAAATGTTTTATTAAGCTGAAACTGTATAAAAAGGGTTATTATAGTATAAATGAATACATGGTTGATAATAACCCCTGGGAATGAGGTGATCGCTTCCAAGCAGTTTCTAAAATAAATTTTGTAAATAGTTCGTAATCATTTCTATTGTAAAATTTATTTAAAAAAAAGTCCCGCTGGGTTTCTTGCTGGTTCTTCCCAGGACAGAGGGTTTTTTCGAACCAGTGGTAAAGTAAAAAATGACTTTCAATAAGAATTACACATGTAATGTATATTGAATAAAAAAATATTCTATTCTATTCTATTCTATTCTATTACACCCACACTAGGATTTTCTCCTGTGTCGTGGAGGCAGTTTACAAACATAAATTGCACAAAGACAAACATCCAGACCCGGAACAATTATTTGTAGGCCATACAAATCTTGTTCCATGCGGGATTCGAACCCGCGGCCCCCAGCGCAACAACTGATTGCTAAGCCACTGCGCCACCATGAAGCTAATACAAAGACTAACTTTGTATTTGCTTCATGGTCGCCGGGTTATAGCTAAAGTGACCATACGTCCCGTTTTGAACGGGACTGTCCCTTTTCTCGGTCTCCTGTCCCATTGTCCCCAAACAAAGCACCGGGACACAAAATTGTCCCGTAACTCGTTGGATGGAAGTATTCAAAGTCAACAATCTTCAACATAATTTTTTTTAATCGAATATATTTTATGTCTACCTGGTACGAATGCTCCGGTAGAAAGAGTATTTTTTTATTTTGCATAAATTGTGGACGTCTGAAAGAAACACTTACGGTTCCAGAGTTCTAAAGGCGATGTTGTTAACAAAGATAACAATAAAAAACTTGAGCAGAATTTTATTCTTATTTAAAATCATCACCAACTTTATTAAAGCAAATTTAATCCACTGACAAATGTAATTAATAATTAAAAAAAATATGTTGCATTTAATAATTACCGTCTATACCGAATATAATTTTATAGTGAACACTAATTGTATAAAGTTATAGTTTTTAGAGTATAAATAAACCCATGTCCTGTTATGAGTTAAAAAATAAATGGTCAGCTTAGTCTTTTTAGTTAAATTTAGTTTTAAATTTTTTTAGTTTATAGTAAAAAGTAGGTATATTAGTACTTTTTACCGAGATATAAGTATAGAACACCTTATGTACTCAATTATTTTTTGAAAAAGAAGAAAAAACAAGCAATAAATAATATACTATATTTTAGCAAAAAACTATAACTTAGTAATACTAATTATAACTTAGAACATAAATGAAAAACTCATAACTGACTTTTTGGCCCAACCCAGGATTCGAACCCGGGACCTCATGATCAGCAGTCGCACTACTACAACCACTAGACCAACGAGGCAGTAGAATACCTGATAAGATATTGTGGTTGGGTGATAATATTGAATTAGCTTTTTATAGTGTAAATTATAATATTTGTCGAAATTTTAATTATGGATTCGAACCTTACATGCTAATGGTGCTTCATTTTTTTATTTGCATTTACTTCAAAGAAAATACACGCAAAAATCTTCATCGCGCAGTAAAAAACACAACAAATATATGTATAACTAATACGAAAAATTATACCCAAAACAAACAAATAATACTACCTATAAATAACCTAATAAGTAATAATATTATCGACTCATATGACGTGGCGTATGCGTCAGTCGACGCTCTAACGACACGGGCTTCCCGTCGAAGAGCTCAGCGCTCACTGACTTCATCAAGCCCGTGAGCAGTATATACGCCCAGATTTTAAAATAATTTCTTAATAAAATCAAATTTTGGTCTTTTGAAAAAAATTTTACTATAGAAATGTTCATTAATAAATTGCCTATCCATTGGTGTAAATCGCAAAACAAAATAATACTTACTTTACGAGGAGATGCATGTTATCAATAATAATTTCACATTTATGTGGTTTCGTTGTAAGGAGATTATATTAATATGTATTCCTTTAAAAAAAATTGGATATAGCTTTTATGGAATCAAGATTATGTAGAAATATAATGTGTTTTTTATTTGTTGATATATCTTTTAAATAAAAAGTAGATAGCTCCTAAAAACCGCCCAAATAACGACTAGCGCGACATTTTGCTCAACCTGCGCCTTAAACGAGACTGCTAACAAAGCAAGTGGACGATCACTCATGTCTATTGAAATGCACAAGTAAGGTCATAGAATCGCCGTAAATGACGTCATAAATATGTTATGTATATTTTATATTCATATATGCATATTTTCATGTTTCTATGGCACGAGCTAAGGTTTCTCTGCTTAGCTCTTGATAAGTTGCTAGAGAATACCTAAAGGCATTAAGCCTGTCAATTGATTAGTATATGTGTAATAAAGAATTTAAATAAACAAATAGTCTCTTGTTATAAAACAAACCTCTTATTTTCATATAAGTAATACTTAACAATAGGAAAACTCGACTTCGATAAACTAAAAAGTATAAGCCAATTTTAATATTAATTAGTTATTTCCTGTTGTAAATTTAGAATTATTGTCTTAGGAATATTTTTAAAGTTATAAAACATACAGTCTCTAATATTCATTCCATTCATAGGCAAATTTCATTTTTGAGAGGGTTTAAAAGTATGGAAGTGTCAACCGCACTGCCCCAATGCGTGTTTGCGGACTTCACATCTCCACAATCCTATGTTGTCCCGTCGGTGTAGTAAGAGGCGACAGAAGGAAACTGAAGCAGTTATGGGTAGCAGTGTCTTCCTAATAACAACATACAAAAATAAAATACTGCGGTTGCCAACCCTCTCCAAGGTCTCTCCCATATCTTGAATGAATAAATGTAATATATATTTATTAATATTATTACATACATGGTTTGTTATAATTTAGGATAACCTTTTAAATAAATGTATACGGAGACGTCTTCCGTAGAAAGTTTCTTAAACAAAATTCAAAGATTTTAAAAAATATCTGAAACAGTCTTATAATAACAATACTAAAATTTAAACAATAATCAAAATAAATAGTGCGTGCGTTCGTGAGTGCGTGTGTGTGTGTGTGAAATCTTGAATCTGGGATTTTGCCGTAGTTCACTTTCTGTAATTTATGGATATATCATCATCGTTATAATTACAGTCCTTCACGAGTTCACTGCAGAACATAGGCCTCCCCAAGGAATGCCACAAAGCACGGTCCCGAGCCATCTGCATCCATTGACTTCCTGCATGTCTTACCAGGTCGTCACTCCATCTAGCGGGGGGACGCCCTACACTTCGCCTGCCGGTACGAGGCAGTCCTCTAACTCGACACTCGAAAACCTTTCTTCCCCATCGGTTGTCGTTTCTTCGAGCTATATGGCCGGCCCATTGCCACTTCAGCATACTAATTCTTTGGGCTATGTAGATTACTCTGGTTCTACTGCGGATATCCCCGTTTTTAAGTCTATCACGCAGAGAAACGCCGAGCATAGCCCTCTTCATAGCTCGCTGAGCGATTTTGAGCTTCCTCAGATGGCCAGCAGTGAAGAAGATATATGAGTCCATGATGTATCCAGAAGTTCACTGCTGGATACAACATGAACTCATATTAATTATATATTACAAAATTAAAATATATTGTATATTTTTTAATTTTTCAGACATGATGGTTTTATTAAGCTTAACATGTACGAAGTGGTAGCTACTAGCTTACAGCTTCAGCTTAGTCCTCCTCCAGTGGCGCCTCTTAGCACTGTACCGAATAGTATTCCCAGTACGCATTCTAACCCATTGTGTATCTTGCGAGCTGACATCGCGCCGTCTCTAATGTCAAAACAAAAAGGGAGGATTTTTTACTATACTATGCTTACCTTCATCGCCGAGCACGATCAAAACCGAGTAGTTTGCGTTATTCTATAGCGCTAAGGTCCTTGTGTAAGCACGCCTTTAAATGCAGCGAAATTTATAACCTTCTTCCTTTTTTATATTTATATACAACTAGCTATGCCCGCGACTTCGTTCACATACAATATTTTTCTTCGATTATTTAAAAGCAGATTAATTGTAATTTAGTCGGCTTGTGTCTTTATTACTTTGGTCATATAAGCTACACCACTATTACAACTCAAATAGTAATAGTTTAGATATAGGAGACGATCCAAAATTGTATGAAACTTAGGCCTAGTTTTATACTAGTATAAAAATAAATTAAATTAAATAATAAACTACTCTTGATGATTAAAATCCACAAATTTGCCTTAATTTCAGTGATATCAATATTTTATTCTCACCAAAAAATTCAACACTAATGACGGATTGATGTTGTTTTGATTTGACGTTAGTTGTCAACTCTAAAATATAAACTTATTACCGTCATTGAAGTAGCACATAATGGCTCAATAATTACCGGTTATCGGTAATCAGAGAGCCATTACGTACTAAACTATCAGATAGATTTATTATGTAAAATAGCTTTAATGTCTCTATAATAGTACGCAAGTAGGGCAATAAACGGTTGTATTTTTGATAAAAACACGAATAACGTGTATTATAGATTATGTATGTGCTATTTTGGTCTTGGAATAAATAACTTTCTTGTTGATATTTGCATATCATAAATGCAGTTCAGGAGGAAATAAACGTAAAAGTACTACCAAATTCCAGGCAAGAAGATTGTTTAGATAAATCAACAGTGCCTACGCACAGAATTATTTCTTTGCATTCATTAGTGTGAACTAATGCACGCTTAAGTGCCAGGGGAATCCAGGACTTTTTTGTTTTACATGGGGAAATGAGGCGTACGTGAGGTGTTTTGTTAGTTTTTAGAAATATTTAGTGCCAGGTAGCTCAAAGCCAAGATTATATGTGAATAGCGGATAAATAGAAAACACTATATTTAATTAACTTATTGGGATAAATCCTTTCTGTCGCTCACGTAAAATACGAACTTGCCTTTGAAGTAAAGGCATTTTACGTCACAGACAGTCGGCTCCATAATGTTTATATGAAGGATTTTGTAATAAATAGACGTGCGGCAGAATACGAGATTTTATTTTGAACTAACATTACACATTATAAAGTTTCTTAGCGTACTGTATCATTTTGATACATATCGATAGATATTTATAGGTGACATTCATTAGGTAAGTACTCGCTTTAAAATTCCGTCCCCCAACGGACGCAGTTCTTTATAAATTCAAATAACTAAAGTATAATAATTAATATAATTAAAATACAGTAATTCGAAGCCTCCTATATTCAGCAGTTTGTTAACATCAGTGTAAATAGCTTCATTTTCAGTCACGCATCCCCATAATAGATCACCTATATAAAAGTCACTCTTTGTAATTTTAGCAGCAACAGGATATTTTGATTTCAACTCATCCGCTAATCTTTGTAGCGATTTCACCGCAAGGTATGGTGCACATGCTGTAACGAAGGTCAATCTCACAAATTTGTAGTGCTTAATTTGCTCAGTCAGTGATGATATCTATTATGCTCTTTGAAATTTTTGTGTCTAGTTCTGCCACACGCACCATTCGATATATATTTTTTTTATATCTACAGTAATACAAATTTTATGAGTCCTCCGTCTCATTAATATGTGACGTAAGTCTTGTTGTAGCTTAGGAGCTATCGTTAGTAGATTATCGTTCAAGGAAACATTATTAGGGTCTATACACGAAGCGTCGAAAACCAATCGAAGCTACGTAATGTTTTTATCGTCTCTTACTGCGCCGTGGTGAGGAAGGTATACCGCTTTGGGATTATTAATATCATTAGAATGCACTTCAACCATATGATCTTAATTTATGTACTCATTCATTAACTTATGGTATCCCTCACGAAACGTAAAAATTTTTAGCTAATTTCTTTTCTAATAACTCAATCCTTTTAGCAGCCATTTCTCTTATTCTACCATTTTTATACTCCAAATTTTACTCTTTCAAATGATAATTTCACCACAAATCTTCCTTTTTCATATTTGACTGTTGTATTTTCATAATATTCTTCACAACTTTCTTCTTCCTTTGACAATCTCTTCTGTAAAGTAATTGGCTCGTTTTATAACTCTCAAAATAACAAAGGCATCTCATCTTCTTTATGTTGAACATTCAAGCTTGTGAAACTTCTCTTTTCTGAATTTGATTCTCGTGAGAACTTTGCCGATAAAACCCAACCTAAGATTGTATTTTGTGCTAATAAATTACTCACTGGATGTTTAATAACGCCATCCGACAAGACGTCGCTGTACACTTCTAGAAGAATGTCTATTCTCCCTGGAGTTGTGAACCCTGGGTCAGCGGACTCCAAGTATTTTTAGTCTGGCCACTCAGGAGTACTAAATGTGACGCCTCATAATAATAATAATTAATTGTTTAGGCCCAAACATGGGCATTTGAAACTGCATCCAATAGCGTTTGACTCAGCGCATCGCCCGATGGTGTAAGGTGACGTGACAGTGGTAGAGCCAGGCGGCAGCTTTTGCTGTCGCACGGATGGGCCGGCTCGAACCGGGGTGGTACCACGACCTCACAGAATACCAGCGTGAAGTAGAGGTTTACCTCTGCGTTTCGCTTGGTGAGTGCAGGTGGCCGGAGGCCCTTTTTACTGGAAATGAGGCATTCCATCCTAGTCCTCACGGGTGACAACGCATCTATATTTTGACTCGCAAACGAGGATAAATGTAGATGTCTATGGGCCACAGCAACCACTTACCATCAGGTGGACTGTGTGCTCGTTTGTCACCCTATCCTATAAAAAAAAAAAAAAAAAGCACCGACGGGGGGGCGGTGCCGCTTCCCGGCGTTAGGCCTCGGGGCTAGCGACAGTAGCTTGACCGCAGCGGCTCTGTCGACAAGTTGTATTATTTGCGACCGCTGGGTCGGTTGTGCGCGGCCAGTTTTGGCTTTGATGCAAGTTTATGCAACGGCGAGGAGTTTGTTGAGTCTAGAAAAATAGATTGTCTGCGCGGACGCCGGGTAGATTAATTGTTTTGGAAATTAATATTGATTGCGATCAACGTCCGGTCTTTGATGCGTGTGGATGTTACTATTGCAGTTTTTTCGCTAGACTCGTGAGGTCGCTTTAAGATCGCTTCTATTTTGAGTTATCATTTAATGCGTTTACGCGATAACGAGGCCGTCTAAGTGTTGAGTGATTAAAATAACTTACCTTTGTTGCAAGTAATTTACGTCAATTTGTATAGTGATTGCATTTTGAAGCGCATTTGCAATATTTAATTTGCTTGAGTGGCCTGTTAATATCGTACGAAAGAATCTTAGATTGTTGTGTGGAACGCGGAACTTTGTGACCCAAGAGAAGGTCGCGTTCGGTTTCTTGAAATAGTTTGTTGCTAAGTGAAAACGGAAGTTGAACTTTGATCGACCGTTCATTAGTTGTGCCATGTGTCACGTGTTTGATTACGATTAACGGGGATTTAGTTGAGTTTGAAGTCAATTAAACGTACAATAAAATTTATACATTGAAAAAGTGTACAATAAAGTTGATATACTGAAATAGTGAAATGAATGTGTCCAAAAAGACACGTATGGCAATTCACAATGCTGTGTTAGTACCTACTTTAATGTATGGTAGTGAAAGTTGGGTGTGGCAGAAGAAGCATGCCAGTAGAATAAATGCTGTAGAATTGCGGTCATTAAGGAGTATGTTAGGGATGAAGCTGAATGACAGAGTGAGAAATTGTTTAATAAGAGAAGAGTGTGGTTTGCAAGATGATGTTGTGACCAGGATTAAGAAAGGAATGCTTCGGTGGTTTGGCCATGTAGAAAGAATGAATGAGGAAAGAGTGACAAAGCAAATTTATGTTGCAGAGGTTAACGGCATAGTCGGGAAGGGTCGCCCTAGGCGAAAGTTTATCGACCAAATTGGCGATATATTAAAAATGGGCCAAATCAAGAGTACCTTTAACCGACGAGCGTGTATGCGTAGGTATATGGATGTGGAGGAAGCGAGAGAGGTGTGTCAGGATCGTGCCAAATGGAAGTCCATAACCTCTGCCTACCCCTCTGGGTGACAGGCATGAATGTTTATGTTTATGTTTATGAAATGAAGGTAGAAGTTTTCAAGTGGTGAACTACGACTGGAGGAAGCGCACATTGGGAGAACATCAGCTCCTGATTATCTTCTGTCCGATTAAATCGGGCCGTCAGGTCACACATATACACACTTTCTAACACAAACTTACAAGCACATACTTAACGCCTGACCGCGCCTTAGGGTCTGTCCTCGATTCGGAACCCGGTAAGTTAGTATTAATTACCTAGCCTTATATCTATTGTGTAGAATAATAAGTCTCCATAGGCCATTTGGGCCCCGTCCTTTGTTGCCCGTCGATTGGATTACTTATGGGCCCTAGTCCAGTCAACATTTGTCGGGGCAACTCAGAGCGTGAACATTAATAATAATTAAATTTAATATAAACACATTTTAAAATGTCCCAGAAATTATTATAAAATATAAAATATAAAAAATATTTTTAAAAAACCATTGCAACGTCCTGATCTGATTCAGTTAATTTGTTGTTGACAATTAACTGGTAGTTTGAATTGCGAGAGTTGATCTTACCAGTTTCGCTATTATTTATACTCCATGTCATTTTAATTTTATTAGAAGCCGTCTTAATTTTGATGCTCAAATGCAAAGACTTGGCTGTGGAGCACACTCTTTTAAATTTTTTTTTAATATATTTTTACATATTCCCTAAATTCGACGCTATCATTAAATGACTTTTCATGGTAAAGATCATATTACCTACGTATGCTCTTATGGACTCCCTCCGTCGCCCATTTATTGAATGACTTCTAACTGTTTAAGGAGAATGTTTTAGAAGTAAAAGTACTATTAAATTTTGAACAAAAAGCAACCTTATTTTACGACATGTTGCTGAATTACATTAAGCGCATGATGACTTTGTCATGCGCCTTTTAGTATATGAACATAGACCACAGATTTTTCTTTATCTACTATTTGGTGCCTCTGTTGGTTGAAGGTCGTTGCTTGATTGTGGCTGACTCTGACCTTTACCCTCGTTGTGCCTTGAACCCAATATATTTGTGATTTTATTCTTGATGTGCGTCGGCATGATACGAATTTCCAGTCGGATTTTCAGCCATTGTTCAAGTTGTACAAGTTGCGAATGCATCTTCTTCATAAAGTCACGACGGTTCATTAGTTTTTGACCCTGTACAGAGGCATTGTGGCAGTAAGATATGTAACCATTGATACATGCTATATTCATCATTCCATAGAAGACGCATATTGGCTAACGATTGGTTTTTCTGCTGCATGACATTACTGAGCACATTTGGTCAAATGTGTCTATACCACCTTTTGTCTTGGCTTTGCGTGGCTTTTTTGTTTCTGGATTGACTGAGGCCTCCTCATCACAAGAAGAAAGCATGTAAACCATTTTCGAAGGTTTAGGTTTGTACGAAAGAAGTGTAATGGGTCCATTATACACGTATTGACTCTTCTGGTTCCATTATTAATTCTATGGTTCTTCAATTCATTCGGGATTTCTCTTTCATTAGATTGTAATGTCCCCAAAATTGTTAATTTGTAAGGTTGTCGAAGTAACTGTTTTGCAATTGGTACTGAGTTGAACCAGTTGTTCATGTTAAAATTTCTGTTCGTGCCGTGTATACTGCGAGTAAGTTTCTTTCCAAAGTACTCTCCTAAAGGTAAACCTACTGTATTGGTTCCTTGTCCAAGATACGGCATACAGTCTAGCATATACCTTGTGCCCCTGTCACACATCATTTCTAACTTGACCCCATACATAGCGGGTTTATTCGGAATATACATCCGGAATTTGCACCACTCTCGGAATGCCAGCAGCTGCTCATCTATGGTAACATTTGTTCCAGGAACATAATTTTGACGGCACTGAACCATAAACAATTCCCATATATACTTTATGGGCGTAAAGGGATCGTATTTTTGGCGTTGTAAGCGAAATGTTTTATCGTCAAAACGTAGACATCACAGAAGGGAATCAAGGAAGTTAAGCTGCTATTTTACGCTGGTTTACTGTGAGAGCGTGGTCCTTCCCAAGTCGAGCCGACCCATTCGTGCTACAACTATATTACTAATATAGCTGCAGCATGGCTCTACCACGTTAAAATCTAGTAGGGAGAGGCTCTATACTTCGTCTATATATGTGAGGCTGCTACTCAAGAACCATTATCCATAGGTTGTTGGTTATTTAAGCCATATAGCCAGCCCAATGCTACTTTCGTTGTTTAATCCAGTTGGCTATGGTGGTTACTCTGAGTCTATTGCAGATTTTCTCAAATTTAAGTCTATCGTCCAGAGAAACCCCGAGCATAACCCTATCCATATCTCGCTGCTCACAGGGCCACTTCTCAATACATAAGTCATTGACAGTACGTACTTGTTGTACAATCTTGTTTTGCAGTATGCCTGACGAGAATATGTGTCAAAATCTTACGAACGCTGCTCAGTCGAGTTGAATCCGTCGATTTAACTAGTCGGACTACTTCCGTAGTAGTTGCATCATGAAGAATGGAATTTAAAACTTCTAAAGGACTTTAAGTACTGATTTTCTACCCGCTTTCAGAAGCTTCGCTGTAATTCCAACCCCGTCCTGCGCCTTGCCATTTATAGTTGATGCAGAGCTATTCTAATCTCGCACAATCTGACGCTCGGGATATCACATGAACAGAGTCAGTTAAAACTTGCTCTTGGGTCATTACTCTCACTTGAGTGTGGCTCCAACAATGATGAATAAGCCTACCCGTAGAACTTCTCGATCTCACTCAAAATCTTAAATGCTTTAAAATAACAAAGTTCCGAAGTTAAATCAGTATATATAGAATAGCTCTGAACTACCACTCGGAGCGTTGGCCGCTCCCCGGGCAGAACACCTTGCCCGGCCGGAGATATCCCCTTTTCCTTCCACGTGCCACATTGGTGACCCCGACGTGATATGAACACGCAACCAACAACCTTTGGAAACTACAACTTCAAACCTTCGTCATCGTCCTCAAGTACCCCGTTCATTCGCTCCCGAGCAGAGATTGTCTGCAGTCTTCACATTCTGCAAGCCATCTACCTTTACAAAAGGTTCCTTGCAGAACTGGAATAAAAATGCTTCCTGTTCCTTCAAGCTACTCTCTGCGCTACAGTGTTCGGCACGGATCTGAGCCTTACTGCTCGCCTCTGCTTCATGGCACTCTCGCATATAACTTGCCTTATTCGCGACTCACCGCAGACTACAAGGCAATACCTGGCACTTATTCTGGCTCGGCATCACTTGCAAGTGCGTAGTACGGCATGCATTACACAACGGCATATCAGCCGTGTAGTGGCGGTTAAGAATATCCACTACCCCATATCTTCCCGTGGGTGTCATAAAAGGCGACAAAGGGAAACAGGCAGGAGACGGGCAGCAGCATCTTCCTGGTAACGACAAAATACAATAAAAACTGCGGTTGCCAACCCGCTCGCCACGCCACGGGTTGGCACCCGACTATGGCAATATACCCCCCATGATGAAGGTTACGAAGAGACGGCCCCCAGTCCCCGGTGGCCCCGCAATTCCTGGCTACGGTGGCGACCATGGTAACGGCGGGGCAGGGGGTGCTAAGAATCTCCGGTGGAGGTTCGGTATCCACCTACGACGACTCGACCTGGCAACATACAACGCACGCACCCTGAGGACTGACGAGAAGATTGTGGAGCTGGAAGAAGAGATAGACAAGTTACGCTAGCATATTATAGGATTATCCGAATTTCGGAGAGTGGGGGAGGACACGGTAATCCTCGAATCCGGCAACTTGCTCTATCACCGAGAGGGCGACCATCTGTCCCAAGGAGGTGTCGGATTTATCGTCCACAAGTCTCTCGTTAACAACGTTGTAAAGAACGGGAGTGTGTCGACGAGGGTTGCGTACCTTATACTCAGAATCACCAAACGGTATTCGCTGAAGGTCATACAGGTTTACGCATCAACCTCGGCACACCCCGATCAGGAGGTGGAGGAAATGTATGAGGATATCTCTAGAGTCATGCATTCCACTAAAACTCAATATACGGTGTTAATGGGAGACTTCAATGCAAAACTAGGCACAAGAGAGAATGGTGAGCTGAAAGTAGGGAAATTTGGAATAGGGCAACGGAACCCAAGGGGCCAGCAGCTGGCCGACTTCATGGAGAAAGAAGGACTCTTTATGATGAACTCTTTCTTCCAGAAGCGGCCCCACAGGAAGTGGACCTGGTCGAGCCCTGACGGTTCGACATAAAATGAGATTGACTTCATTATGACGACCAGACGACAACTGTTCAGAGATGTCTCAGTGATCGTGAGGGTAAGAAAACCGGCAGCGATCACCGAATGGTTAGAGCCACACTGAACTTAAACGTTAAGTTGGAGAGGTCTCGTCTAATGAAGTCAACGCTCCGTCCCCCTCGTGCTCTAATCCAAAGTCCCGAAACCTTTCAGCAAGAGTTACGAAACCGTTTTCAGTGCCTAGAAGACTGCAATGAAGTGGAAGATTTGAATGACAAGCTCGTGGAAACTGTCCATGCGGTCGGAGCTAAGTTCTGCAAGACCCGCCGCAGAAGAACACAAAAACTCTCCGATCACACTCTTAATCTCATGGCTGTTAGACGGGAGATGAAGCTACATTCTACAACAGATTTGACAGCATACAGGCAACTGAACAGACAGATCTCCAAATGCATGCGGCGGGACTTACGCAACTTCAATACAGCTCGTATTGAAGAAGCTATCGAGCGGAACCAAGGCTCCAAAGTCTTTGCCAGAGATCTGTCTGCCAGAAAGAGCCAACTGTCTAAGCTGAAGACCGAATGTGGCAGCATCGTTTCCGGGGCACCTGAGATTTTGAGTGAGATTGAGAGGTTCTATGGGCAGCTGTACACGTCATCGTTGGAGCCGCACCCAAGTGTGAGTAACGATCCAAGAGCGAGTATTATCCGACGTTATTCCGATGATATCCTGGACGTCAGTCTGAGCGAGATTATAATGGCTCTCCAGCACCTTAAAAACGGCAAGGCCCCAGGCAAGGATGGAACTACAGCGGAGCTTCTGAAAGCGGGTGGAAAACCGGTACTTGAAGTCCTTCAGAAGCTCTTTAATTCCGTCCTCCATGGTGGAATTACACCGGAGGCGTGGAGCAGAAGTGCGGTGGTCTTGTTCTTCAAGAAAGGCGACAACGCTCTCTTGAATTACTTTAGACCGATTTCCCTTTTGAGCCGCGTCTACGTGCTGTTTTCGAGAGTCATTACGAATCGTCTCGCGCGCAGACTTGACGACTTCCAGCCTCCCGAACAAGCCGGTTTCCGAAAGGGCTTTAGCACCATAGACCACATACATACCCTTCGGCAAGTTGTACAGAAGTCCGAAGAGTACAATTTGCCACTATGTCTGGCGTATGTGGACTATGAGAAAGCCTTTGATTCCGTCGAAATTTGGGCGGTGCTGCAGTCCCTTCAGCGGTGCCAAGTTGATTGTCGGTATATCGAAGTGTTGAAGTGCTTGTACAGTAGGGCTACGATGGCTATCCGAGTACAGAACCAGAGTTTGGAACCTATCCAATTGCAGAGAGGTGTAAGACAGGGTGACGTCATATCCCCGAAACTCTTTACCGCTGCATTGGAAGATGTTTTCAAGCTTCTGGACCGGAAAGGATACGGTATCAATATGAATGGCGAGTACATCACTCAACTTCGATTTGCCGACGATATAGTCTTTATGGCAGAATCGCTGGAGGACCTAAGCACTATGCCCAATGACCTCAATAGTGTTTCCCAACGGATAGGTCTTAAGATGAACATGGACAAAGCAAAGATCATGTTTAATGTCCATGTCACACCTATGCCGGTAGTTGTTGGGAACACTAAGCTCAAAGTTGTTGACGAGTATGTTTACCTGGGACACATAGTCCGACTAGGTAAGTCCAACTTCGACCGAGAGGTCAATCGACGGATTCAACTCGGTTGGGCAGCGTTCGGGAAATTACGGCACATCTTCTCGTCAGGTATACCTCAAAACTTGAAAACGAGACTGTACAACCAGTGCGTATTGCCAGTGATGACATACGGAACTGAGACGTGGTCCCTCACTGCTGGCCGGATGAGGAAGCTCAAGGTCGCTCAGTGAGCTATGGAGAGGGCTATGCTCGGAGTTTCTCTGCGTGATAAACTTAGAAATGAGGATATCCGCAGTAGAACCAGAGTGACCGACATAGCCCAACGGATTAGTAAGCTGAAGTGGCAATGGGCCGGCCAAATAGCTCGAAGAACCGACAACCGATGGGGAAGAAAGGTTCTCGAGTGGCAGCCTCGTACCGGCAGGCGAAGTGTAGGGCGTCCCTCCACTAGATGGAGTGACGACCTGGTAAGATATGCAGGAAGTCGATGGATGCAGGTGGCTCAGGACCGTGCTTTGTGGCATTCTTTGGGGGAGGCCTATGTTCAGCAGTGGACTTGTGAAGGGCTGTAATGATGATGATGATGATGATGATATCGTTTGCACCGGCGTCACTTGCTCTTACGCATACAGCATGCATACCCCACCGGCATTAAGGAGGCACCGGCAATCGGACTGCCTATCAACCTCCAGTCTGAGCGGGGGGTGATGTGGCGGCGCTGTCGTGGAACCCAAGCGAAATACATCGAAGCCTAAATCACGCTAACAAAGTTCCGAAGTTAAAGCAGTATATATAGAATAGCTCCGAACAACCACTCGGAGCGTTGGCCGCTCCCTGGGCAGAACACCTTTCCCGGCGACAGAACAGCTTTGACAGTTGGCTCTTTCTGAAAGACAGATCTCTGGAAAATACTTAGAGCCTTGTTTCCACTCGATCGCATCTTAATTGAGAGCTGTATTGAAAATGCACAAGTCTCATCGC